CATTTGCTTCAGAAATCGTTGAAGAGTTAGAAACTAAGCTTTCATTGCATTCATTGACAATGTCTTCAATCAAATGTCTGATTATATCAGTGAAGACATTGAGACCAGAAGTGAGGGACTATTGGCTAGAAGTGAGCGCTGATGTGAGCACTGTATCCGATCTGAAGTCCACTGTTTTGGACACAAATGGCTTTATATTGAGTGCCGAAGACATTGGAGTGTTACTCAGAGATGAGACACGAGTTAATAGTAATGTGTTTACCGATAGAGATAGCATTGAAGTCAAAGGGAAAAGGGGTCCACAAGTGGTGGACACCTGTACTTCAATCAGTGATCAGAAATACTACAACTCTATATATCCGTGAGTTTTATACATCAATATAATTATGAAACTAACCTAAGCTAGAGGCTAGAGATTAGTTTAGGTATTAAGTATGTGTGCATTTATACTGGCTGACATTTTAGTTTATAACTTCTTAAATAATCTTAAGCTTATATCAACTAATTGGGTGCAAAACTATTTTTATAATAAGTATCAAAGGATTTTCCACAAAAAAAACTTCAATAGAAAATTAAAAACTTAAATCTATAAGAATATAATTTTTATTTATATTTGATTAACATTGCATAGATTCAATTTATTTTGTCAATATTTACCAGGGATACTAATATTAGTGAATCAGCACTAGCGTTCGAAAATTTTTGAAATTTTCAAAACTTAAGAAAATTTTTAGAAAATTTTCTGAAATTTTTGTTTTTAATTAAATTAGTTATAAATTAATATACCTAGGTATAAGTTTAATACTAGATGTGATAGAAACTGTAATTAACTTCCAAAGAAGCTATAAACTGTTAATTAATAATCAGTAAATTAATTGCAATTAATAATTTAGTGAAATTTTTAATTACAATAGTCAAACAAAATGAAATTCAAAATTACATTTAACCAAAGTTCATTTTGGTTAATACAGCATTTAATCAACATCTATACTAAACATATTGAATACTAATTATATATTATAAAATAAATAAAGTTGAATGCAAAATTAATCAAAATATATGGAAATTTCCTAGAAATTTGCTAAGAAATCAATAAAATTAACTAAAAATTTTTGAAAAATTTTTAGTTAATTTCAGCCAAAATTCAAGAAAAGAAAATTTTCTAAAAATTTTCCAAAAATTTTCTCGTTTCGAACGCTAATCAGGACACACTATAGTTGATAGTATGGAGGGAACAGACGTTTTTGTGGAAAGCCATGACTCGACCACAACCTCACATATCTCTCAATCTTGTGATGAACGCCAATATAGTGAACCGATGGCATCGAAAGCAATATATAGTCTGCGATCAAGACGTGTGAACACAAAGTCCACAATAAATTGTTGCGAAACTGTTGGCAGTAGTGATGACAACCGCACCGACATCTCCAACGCCGAGACTTATGACGACCGGCACTCGGGTCAACACAAACAGACCACAAATCATGATAAGAGAGTGCCGTCTAATGAACAGAATTGTGGACAAAGTTTTACTCACAAATCAGACCTCATATCAAATCAAAGGACGGATTCGCGTGAAAAGCTATTTACTTGCAATTACGAGAGTTGCGGCAAATGTTTTATGCAATACTCGAGCCTTTGTCGACACAAACAATCCGCACATTTTCGAGAAAAGTAATTTGTTTGCGATTATGATAATTGTGACAAAAGTTTTCCCTATAAATCCATACTTACAGTTCATGGCCACAAATTTACCTCAAAACACAATCTCGGTTTACACCATGAAATAAGACACTTAGGTCTAAGGAAATATGTTTGCCATTTAAGGGGTGCGGCAAATATTTTTACAGTTCAACTAATTTAGATCATTATAAACGAGTGGCGCATTTGTTTGCAATTACCCGGGTTGTGGCAAAAAAATTATTTAATAAAATCTTATACAACAACGTTCTAGCTCGTTCATTAACAAAAACTATTTTACTGCAAAAATAAATTTGTTTATTGGATTCAAATAGACATCATTCAAGAAAAAACTATTTAAGTTACCGTTTTTATTTAATTAATCATAAATGATAATTTAGTGTTTGTATAAATAGAAGTTTTATTGCATGTTCATCATACTTATTAATTATATGAGCTAGGGACAACCATAGTAACGTTAGCTATTTTATATTTATTATATCTAATTATTAATTTTATACAAAAGTCAATTATTCATAAAATATTCATAGGCTTAAGGTAAACGAGTAGTATTATAACTTATCAGGTTAAAATATGACTGGATTTTAAAGTATTAATNTTAATTTTATACAAAAGTCAATTATTCATAAAATATTCATAGGCTTAAGGTAAACGAGTAGTATTATAACTTATCAGGTTAAAATATGACTGGATTTTAAAGTATTAATAAAAATAGCTAACGTTACTATGGTTGTCCCTAGCTCATATAATATGTAAACACCGGTAGTATATAATGTTTATAATAATATCAAAGAAGTCAATCCGTGTTTGGGCTCTGTTTCCAACTCCGAGACATACGACAAAGCATTCAATTGTAAGCCAAACACTTATATGAATCCCATATTCAAAGACAAATGCATTCTTTGGTAACTAAACTTTATTTTCAAATAATGTATGAGTTTTCAGTAATCGCACAAAATATAAATTATAAAATCTATTAAACCCTTTAACTATAAAAAATGTTTTATTCCCGAAAACTATTACATCTAATGAATCATTTTGTATTACCCAGAGGTTCGACACTATTGCATACAAATATCGCATAATATAGTGATATAATAAATTAATACAAATATTCATTATGTATCATTTTATTTAGTTATAAAACAGAAACATTTCTTAAAAATATATTTAAATAATGAAAATGAATATCACAATTTATCTATCAGATTTATAACATAATAAACTTATTATTAATCATTTTATATATTCTGTATTCACTAGTTTCTCATTTCTAATCCAATATGAATATCGTCCGTATTTAATAAAAACTCAAACTTTTTTATTTTAAGGGGAATTATAGTATTGGGTGTCGTCTTAAACCTATACTTATGGACCAAATGAGCGACGGCTGTCTTGGCCTCCATTAATGCAAACCTCATTCCCACACAATTTCGGGGTCCCGTCCCGAACGGCATATACGTGTATGGAGTCAATTGGTCCCTATTCTCCGGCATAAACCTCTCGGGATCCCAGACCTCTGGGTTCGGGTAGTACTCAGGACTGTGATGGAGGGAATAGATGTCAAAGTTAACCATCATTCCCTTGGGTATTGTCAGCCCGGTATCACCTATAATGAGATAATTATATATCAATCAAACGATTATTCTTATTAAACAGAATATTCTGTTAAAACACTTACCGATAGTGTATTCCTCTAAAGCGTATCGATTGACGGCACCGATTGGAGGGTAGAGTCGAAGTGTTTCGGCAATACATGCCTCCAAATACGGCATTTTGGAGACACTCTCGTAATCATACTTTCCGTCCAAACCATTCACTTCTTCGTACAGTTTTTGCTGACACTTCTCATTGAGCGCCAGATTGTAGAATACTAGTGACAATAGGGCACCAGTAGTCTCATATCCGGCCACAAAGAATGCAAAACTCGTGGCCAGTATATCGACATCAGTGATCCCGGTGCCCGGTTTGCTATTACTATTACTTTCAATCGACTGAGTCTTTCCATAGATGTCTTCATTCAAGTCATCCACTTCTGGTTCCTTATCGTTGTCCACATTCTTCCGGTTCAGTGCGTTAATCATGAGCTGAAGATAATCTTTTTGCTGCACTTTCTCTGACTTACGTTTCGCCAGAATAGACTTAACCTGAGATCAAATGATTTGTTTTAATTAATACTTAATACATAACAGAATATTCTGTGACATATGGATGACTAACCGCTTGACCAAAGAATCGTTGAGCCGACGGATCAATGAATTGAAATCCTGTCCAATGGATCAGTTTCTGTGATATACTCAGGAGTATACTGAAGACCCATATCCTCCATACGTTTCCACGAAATACTTTGCGAGCGTTTACTATGAATTCATTGGTTTTCTGGTCGTTATAGACATCTATTTTGGTGCCGAAAGCACACGAAGCGATCACATCCATCGTCAGGTTTCCCATCGTTTTCTTCATCTCCACGTCTTCTCCAGACATGGCTTTTGGCCGCAGATTATCCACCAGTTTGTGGACACAATCAATGATAATGGGATGCATTGATCGCATCTTTCCGCTCGAAAACGTCGGACTTATCTATTGATTCGTTATTATTAGTAATAATTAATTAATAGTTATTTAAATACAACTCACAATCGATCGCATAGTCTTCCACTCGTCTCCAATCAGGTTAAACAGTGACCGGTCTTGCAGTGGGTCTCCAAATGTGAAATCATTTCTATTGACAAATACGTGGAAATCCTTTATATTCATTGTCTTTATGAGCTCCGGATCGGCGATCATAAGCGTAGGTCGACTGCCCATAAATGTGCTGTTTGTGTAAAAAACAGATTTTTAATATAAGTTATGAAAAATGAAATACACATTCAAACCCATAAATCTTTCCATATTTGCGGTAATTATCAACAAATACATCCGGCAATGACTTGAAAAATATTTGCCATAATGTGCCCAAAAGTGCGACAGGTTTGGGACCTCCGATTCCACGGGAACTCCAGTAATTAAAATTACGTGTTAAGTAGCTATTGATAAATAAATATTTTGAGTTAACAAATGAAATTACTTGAATACTCTATTAATTACTTACAAATAAAGTATCACCAATAAACCAATCAATAAAAACAACGAGTTCAACCCAAAAATGCTGGCAAAAAACATTTTGCTTAAAGTTTTCACAATTTATGTTTCTTATTAAATAATAAGTAAATTAAATTTATTTCTGCACTGAATTTAGTATTTATATACTTTTTAATGTAAACAATTCAATCGCATTCATTGTAATCTAATCGCAAGTATGATAGTATTTAAAACTTTTCACATCAATTATTATACAATTATTATTAATGTAATATGATTTAATTTCAAGGACTTATTAATTATTGAATAGTTAATAATGATTTATAAAATAGCTTTATTGTGAACAATATGTTAAATGCAATAATCTCTGTATTGCTACGTTAATTAAATTTGGCATTCAAATATATGAAACAATTTGTAATGTATAATTTTTATAATAAATTATATTTAATACTAAATTCAGTGCTATCTTATCAATGATAACTTGCGTACATTTTGGACTGTTTTCAGTACATTATGGGCACTATTATCGCGTATGTCGTGTGCAACTGATTTAATAATAAAAGTTAAATGTTTGCCAATAATTAATACTAAATACACTCATAATATGATAGTACTGTTGAAAAAGTAGACAACAATAAAATAATACAAACCTTTTTTTCAATGGCAATATTCAATGAAAATGTGCAAACTTTGACATGCCCTAAGACAGTTATTTTAAAAGATATTTGAAAAATTTTAAATATTTTCTTTAAATTTGAGAGTCACAATAAAACACCTGCCTTTCCTCCCGGTGCCGGAGTGATGAAATTTTAATAAATTAGATAGAAAATTAAATTACCAACATTTTTCATATCATAACTTTTAAACATTTCTATTCATGTGAGATGTGATGCAATTTTAAATTAGTGGCCATTACTTGTAATTAAATACAAACCATATGTCCCTAACCTTAACCCATACTTGCAATGTCTCTCTCTCTCTCTCTCTCTCTCTCTCTCTCTCTCTCTATCTCTCGCTCTGAATACGTGTTCAAAATATTGTCTCTAAAAATGAGTTGTACTTCAAAGTTATAATTCATAACTAACACGCTTTTCAAACAATTGTAATACTTATTTCGTGAAACCCTGGTGCTTTTCAATCACGCTACTTATATCTCTTATAGTGGCTATAATCCCGGTGCACTGCAATTGTATTTTTAAAATCATTAAGCTGTGAACAAACTCGCGAATACCATCAGAGAGTGTTCATTGTCTTTGCAGTGGTAGTACTTTTTTGACAGAAATGTGGCGGGGGTAAGTTTGTACTTATAAAATTATCGCGATAATAATAAATTGTATTGTACTGTATTTTGTTAATTAGTAGCTATTTGTCTATATGTAGTAAAAATCAGTTAAATTAAAATAATGGGATATTTTTTTATAAATATAACTCTACAAAACTACTTTTTAATAATTAGAATAATAATATATAAAAATTCAATTTGCAAGATTAAGCAAGCTTAGTTTTTAAACTACCTGCGTAAGTTTTGAATTTAAAGTTTCAAGTCTCGATTACTAATTTTTCAATGCTTTACGATTGTCCCCTAATTAATAAATCGGCTTTCATATATTACCTTACTATATGCTACTAGCTGTGCTAATATAATATATATATATATTTATATTATATATATAAATTTTATATTATTCGGTTTAATAAAGAAATGGCAGCACTTTTAATTTTCAAAATCTTAGCACTTTTTTGATAAAATACAAAAATCCTGTTATTTTTTCATCATTAAACGGAATAACTTAAAAATTCTTTCGCATACAAGTATATTATTAGCACAGTTAGTAGCATAATATGCTAGAATATTATTCTAGACTGATAAACATTTTATTGAGCTTGGTATAAAAATATTTCCTTATTTACGTATATTTAACACAGTGGTAGGTGTTGTGCTAATAGAGTTATAAAGATCACTATTCTCTGCATAACTGCAAACACCGCTCTTGGATACCATGGGGTGTCTGTCCTCTAATGAGTTCCTCGGACTCCAAATCAAACTCTTCGCCCGCTTTTAAGTCTTTTAAACATTTTGTTTGACAATCATTTGATAACATGTTTAATGAGAATTTAAACAGTAAACCGTAAAACAGTAAATAGTAGGATATGAATACACAATACTACATTATAATGAAATGAAATACAAAATGAAATATAAGTTATCCTTAAAAAGAAATACTTATAAGTTATATAATGTTTTATAATACAGTAATAGTTGCAGTTACATAATCTTAGTAGTACATTTGTATTGATATGACGTAACCATTCATAAGGAATCCCTACTTAAATGCCATATAAGGATAAACATATGTATTATTAGGTGATATAGTTATACATTTTCATACCATATAAGGCAATGTCAATATCATATGCTTTGAATAACGTGTTCATTAAACCGCTTAATCATGTAATCATGTATTGTGTCGTGTATTGCATAGCATTACTAGCATTGAGTGAACGCATAGTAAGCTTAGAAAGTAATGCATATAAAGCTCTGCACATCGACTCTGGAGTCACAACTGAATTGATTGACTAAAACATCGCTAAACAGTCCGACAACTGATCCAATCGTTTGAATTGCTATTCATTTGAGATCTGATTGACTGCTCATTGATATGTCTTCAGGAGTGACCGTATCTTCCGATGCGAAGACAGTCTACGATGAGGTGAAGAAGGATAAGAAGTACCGGTATATCATATATCACATCAAAGACGAGAGGGTAAGGGAGTTGAGGGTCTGTGCCCTCTTGTGATGGCATTATCTCATTGATTGTCTCATTGATGTGATGGACAGGTGATAGACGTGGAGTCCATCGGAGCACGTGATGTCACATACACTGAGTTCTTGGAGATACTGCGGAACTACCAAAACGAGTGCAGATACTGTGTGTTTGACTTCCCGGCTAACATTGCCGGACAGGGGATGTCGGCGCTGAGTGTGGACCGACTGGTGCTCATGACGTGGTGTCCCGAGAGCTCGAGGATAGGAACTACGACAACGAGTGCAGATACTGTGTGTTTGACTTCCCGGCTAACATCGCCGGACAGGGGATGTCGGCGCTGAGTGTGGACCGACTGGTGCTCATGACGTGGTGTCCCGAGAGCTCGAGGATCAGGCAGAAGATGCTGTACTCGTCATCCTATGGCGCCCTCAAGAAGGCGTTGGTCGGGGTCTATAAGTACGTCCGGGCGTCCGATGTCGAGGGGGCCTCCCAACAGATCATTGAGGAGGCCTTCCGAAAGGGCAGCCAATGAACGGAACATCCATTTCTTGATGGCATCCATGAGTTATAACTAAATTTAAAATTAAATTACTAATAATTATATTGCAAGTAATAAGTGTTGCGATGAATGGCATAAAAATTTAAGAAATTAATAAAATTAAAGACAAGTTTCAATCAGTATTTTTTAATTAATTATATAAAATGCAATGTCTTTTGAAAAAACATTTAAATTTCTTATATTTAAAAAAATTACACAAATTTGATGTCAATATAAACAGGGCGTTTTGAAATAAACTTATTTTTGGTTTTAATTGATTGAGTGAATATGTAATGTATGAAAAGTAAAAGTTTTTTTGCGACTTTTAGCTGAATTTGTTTTTTGTAATTAAATGAAAACATAAATAAAAATTTTTGCAAAAACTTGACAAATAAGTCACGTGTAATATCTTGAAAATAAGTTAAATGTTTTATTTTAATTATAAATTTCTTCATAATTAGTTAAACTCATAAATAAACAAATGATTGTTTAGGTTATTGGGCATAAGATGACCCACCGTTCCCACGGGAACTCCAATAATTAAAATTACGTGTTAAGTAGCTATCGATAAATAATGTATTGAGTTAACAAATGATATATCAAGTTATTTCGAAAGTTATTTTTAATTTAATTAAATAAATTTTTTCTGGATTGAATTTAGTATTCATATAAATTATAATACTTTTTTTATGTAAACAAATCAATTGACAACATGATTATCTAATCTCAAGTTAACACCATATGTGATAACCTAACAAAAAACATATTAGTATTTAATAGGTGATAATAAACACAGTTTACCACTACTCAAATATAATATAAACCACACATTTAGTTATATTCACTTATATGTAGATTAGTTACTACTAAATGGTTAAAACTTATGTACAGAAAATATAAGCATTATATAATATTTGAGTAGTGGCAAGGTGCGTTTGTTATCACGTATAAAATAAAGAATTTCTAAACGTTTGAATCATTTGTCCAGACACAAATAATAAGTATTGTCATAATATTAATAACTAATTTTGAATTATTCATATCATACATAAAATAATGAGGTATAAATAAATGAACTCATATTTAGCCACAAATGTATAATAATAACGAAATTCATTCATATTATTAGTTCAGAGGAGAAGGGAATGGGTTTTTGGAAACGAAAGAGTGGTTTAGTGAAGAAATTGATTGTTTCGGTCGTTGTCTTCGTGTTGATATCCATCGGACTATTGGTGGCGACCATTGTATTGACCATCAAATACATCCGTAAATTAATGATCATATTTGACGCAAAATACTCGAAAAATTACTTTATTATAGAGACAGACGACGAACCGGATGTTTGCGAATCAGCCGAATGTTTAATAGCAGGTAATAATGATATCGTAAATATACAGGGTGGTTTGTAAATAACGATAAAATTTGGAAGTCTAAGCATTTAGAAAAATAATACACAGTGTCCAAATACTAAGTCTCACAAATTGAATCGATATTTAGGGACAACGGTGTACAGTTAATTTGTAATAACCTGTATTATTATATTATTACCAAGTATCACTATTATATTACTTTTGACGATAGCCTCCAATCTTCAGAGTTCTCTCAACTTATCTGCCGATCCGTGTGAAGACTTTTATGAGTACTCCTGTGGCGGTTGGATCCGCGACAATATTATCCCACCCGACAGGGGCATGTTGGCTAGGTCAGATGTCACCAGAAAGAGACTCAAAAATAATCTTAGAGGTCATTGAAATCATGTGTTTTATACTGTATATACTTTATTAACTATAATATTATTATATGTATAGTACTTCTGGATGCAGAATATGATGATAAGTATCCGACAATTATATCGGACGCCACTAAATACTATAAGCAGTGCATGGATTTGGGTAAAGGCTATTATTTGTATCTAAACATATTCAATATGATAATATTGACCCAGTAATTAATTTTAATAACCTATGAGTTCTGTGAATTAAATTTTTTTAAATAATGAAACAGAATAGAAATATTTAATTTGATATGTTTGTTTCAATAACTTATTTTTATATCAGATAAATGTGCGGAAAGTATTAGAAATGATTGAAAAGAAATATTTAAATTAAAATTAATAGTAAAATAGAATTTAAAAGAATTAAAAAATAGGAAAACGAGAGAAGGGTTTACGAGAACTGAAAGATTTAGTAAATGATTGGCCGATGATTAACAACAGTCAAGAGATCCCCAACTTTTTGTGGTGGAAAGAAGTGGCCAGGCTTATTAGGGGACATAAATTCAATTTTATTTTATCCAATTATGTCGCTTTTGACTCCAAAAACACCTCTATTTATTCTATCCATGTAAGACTCTATGGACTAACCTATTATACCTTGTTTAGTATATTTGTTTAATTCTGTATATTAATGACGTGAATGGACAGGTAGACGCACCGTCATTAGGTGTGGGTCGGATCCAACTGGTCAAACCTGATGATCAAAACAATAAGCGAATTCTGGAGGCGTATAAAGTATTGATTGAAGAATCGGCACAACTATTAGATGGAGGCGCCGGCAAACTGAGTGCTAATATTAAGGCAGACATTCAACATGTGGTGGACTTTGAGTCAGATTTGGCCAAAATTATGGCCGAACCGTCTGCCCGTCGAAACCGCACTGAACTATACGGACATAAAATAGATTTACAAACATTTGTCAACACATATAATATACCGCTTCTGGATATTGAGAGGCAGGTGTTTACCAACTATGCGACCATCGATGGCAACACAGGGCTTATAGTTTATGACCGAGATTATTTTAGACAATTGGCTGATCTATTAAACAGAACCCACACCAAGGATGTCAAGTATTTGAGATTATATTAAGTTTTGATTAAATATAAATAATTTACTATTAATTATACAATCAATTCATATATTAATATATTTTTGTAGAATAATACAGAATTACCTGAAGTGGCGAACTGTGCGCTCATTAGGCACTCACACGTCAAAGGCTTTCCGAGACATAGAGTTTGCGTTCAACAAAGTGTTGACAGGAGTGGAGGAACCGCCGGCTCTTTGGGAGGTTTGTGTAAATCTGGTCAACAATAGACTCCCTTTCGCTGTCGGAAGGCTTTATGTGGACAAACACTTCCCCGAAGAGGCCAAACGGGATATGGATGTACTGATCGATGCACTCAACAAAGCCTTCACTGAATTACTCGATGAGAACGAGTGGATGGAAAAGGAGACCAAAGATAAGGTCAGAGAAAAGGTACGGAAAGATATTTTTGAATAATTAATAATTCATTAAATAAATCTAAAAGTATACTGTATTTCATTGTATGTTAGTTGGCAACCATGTTGAGATTCATTGGTTATCCGGATTTTATTAAAAAAAACTCAGAATTGACTGATTATTATAGCGAAGTAAATATATTAATTTAACCATGATTAATTAAATTATGGAATATTGTAGTAGTTTTATAACATATTAAACACACATTTAATTTATCAAAACAGTTAGTCTTAAACTTTAACAAATCATTCCTTGAGACCATTAAAGACAATAACTTGTGGACCTCTAAGAAGTGGCTAACTATGTTGAACAAAAGCAACCAGGACAGATCAACAATTGAGTAAAAGATTTGGTATGAAAAGTAACTAGATTATATAAATCTGTATTTCAATGAACAGATGGTTTAGGAGTCCGGCGATTGTCGACGCATTCTTCTCTCCTCACAATATCATCCGTAATGATAAGTAAACTACAAATTAATTAAGTCATTCAAATATGACTTCCATTGTTAGTATTCCCGGCTGGAGTACTTCAGTCTCCATTCTATACGTACAAACTACCAATGTGAGCATGGTCATTCTCTCTTAATAAATTACAATCAATTTATTCCTATTATAGGGCATTAAATTTAGGTGGAATCGGAATGGTATGTCATTCATAATAAAGTAAATAAAATGTCATAAATAAATAAATGATTGTTTAGTTTATTGGCCATGAGATCACCCATGCATTTGATGATAAAGGTAGTTATCCTTAACAAATTTATATTTTAACTATATTATATAGTAAATTTAAATTGGTAAGCTATATTATAATGTTTGTATTCTATGCTATTGTGTATGTGTTGTACAGGTGCTCAATATGACAGGTTTGGTAATCTATACAATTGGAGGGATGGAGTCACTCAACAGAGATTCAATGAACGGATCAAATGTTTTATCAATCAATACAACGGTTATAACGACTCTAACGCTGGAATGAATGTTAGCTATTATTATACATTATATCGAAATATGTATTCATTTCACTATTATTTAGATCAATGGAAAGACAACTATTGGGGAGAATATTGCAGATAATGGAGGCTTAAGACAAGCATTTAAAGTATTATTAACTTAATTATTATACATTATATCGAAATATGTATTCATTTCACTATTATTTAGATCAATGGAAAGACAACTATTGGGGAGAATATTGCAGATAATGGAGGCTTAAGACAAGCATTTAAAGTATTATTAACTTATATTGATATCAATTTATTTTCCAATTAATGTTAATTCTGTGAATCCCTGTGCCATCCCTATGACATCTCTATGACATCCCTATGACATCCCTATGACATCCCTATGACATCCCTATGACATCCCTATCCCATAAGGCACTGGAGAACTATAGCGTTCGTAAGCAGTCATTGCCGGGAAGTATGAAGAGCTTCACGAGTGAACAGCTATTCTTCCTGTCGTTTGCAAACGTGAGACTCAATTGGATTCATAATACAGTATAACTAATAATTTTAATTTAATTTCAATACCATTCCCATAGGGAGGGTGTGTAAACATTAGAGATAAGGCTTTAAAACGACAGATCGAGACCGACCCCCACAGTCCCAACAAATACCGGATTTGGGGCACTGTTTCCAACTCCGAGTCATTCGCCAAAGCATTCAATTGTAAGCCAAAGACTAATATGAATCCCGAACCCAAAGACAAATGCATTCTCTGGTGACTTAACCTTATTGTCAAATAAATATGGGTTTTAAGTAATGTCACAAAATATAAATTATAAAAATCTATTAAACCCTTTAACGATAAACGAATTAAATTTTATTTCCAAAAAACTATTACATCTAATGATCATTTCTTATGAACAAGAAGTCCAATGACACGATTGCTAGCCATATGTGTTAAGCTCTTTCGGATATTCCGCATATGAATGAGTGGTTTCGCACTATTTTTGACCACTTTTTTTGTAGAATTTGTGCCCAAATTCTAGACAACTCTTCAGTGTTTTTACATTTTTAGTCGCTTTGGATCTCATCTGCTGTATTGTATTACACTTAAAACATAACACAAAAATACTTGAAAATACTTGTAAAATATTTCAAAGTTACAAGAGTTACAAGTCATAATATATATGTAGCACATGAAATACAAATATGAAAATGTAATTGTGTTAACATATAAATAGTTTTTAAACATTAAATATTATTTATTAGATTCTCATTTCGAGCCCAATATTAACAGCACCGGTATTTAAGAAAAACTCAAACTTTTTAAGTTTAAGGGGAATTGTTGTATTGGGTGTTGTCTTGAATTTATATTTATGGACCAAATGAGCGACAGCTGTCTTGGCCTCCATTAATGCAAACCTCATTCCCACACAATTTCGGGGTCCCGTCCCGAACGGCATATACGTGTATGGAGTCAATNCCTCCATTAATGCAAACCTCATTCCCACACAATTTCGGGGTCCCGTCCCGAACGGCATATACGTGTATGGAGTCAATTGGTCCCTATTCTCCGGCATAAACCTCTCGGGATCCCAGACCTCTGGGTTCGGGTAGTACTCAGGGCTGTGATGGAGGGCATGGATGTCGATGTTTACCATCATTCCCTTTGGTATTGTTAATCCTGTGTCTCCTTTGGATGAAATAATTATATTTGAATTAAATCTTAATACAAAGAATATTCTGTATAACACATACCTATAGTGTAATCCTCTGAAGCTAATCGACTAACGGCTGGAATGGGATTATAAAGTCTGAGTGTTTCGGCAATACATGCCTCCAAATACGGCATTTTGGAGACACTCTCGTAATCATACTTTCCGTCCAAACCATTCACTTCTTCGTACAGTTTTTGCTGACACTTCTCATTGAGATATAAAGTCTGAGTGTTTCGGCAATACATGCCTCCAAATACGGCATTTTGGAGACACTCTCGTAATCATACTTTCCGTCCAAACCATTCACTTCTTCGTACAGTTTTTGCTGACACTTCTCATTGAGTGCCAGACTATAAAACAGATACGACAGCAAAGAGCTGGTAGTTTCATACCCGGCCACTAAAAATAGGAAACTCGTTGCTAGAATTTCTGTGTCAGTCATACCAGTGCTCTTTGATATATTTGATTTATTTTCATTATTATTCATAGAATCTGTTGACTCAGTCTTCCCATAAATCTCTTCATCCAAGTCGTCGACATCCAGTTCCTCATTATCTGTATTCATGCGGTTCTGGGCGTCAATCATGAGCTGAAGATAATCTCTTTGTCGCACTTTCTCTGACTTACGTTTCGCCAGAATTGCCGTAATCTGAATGAAGTATAAGTTAATTGATTTATTGAAGCGATTAAACCTTTTTACAAACTAACCGCTGGTGTGAAGAAGTTTTCAACTGATGGGTCCAAGAATTGAAATCCCGTCCACTTTAAGAGTTTCGGCGATATATTGACTAATATCCCGAACAACCATATCCTCCAAAGGCTTCCGTGAAATACTTTCTTAGCGTTTACTATGAATTCACTGGTCTTGTGGTCATTATATGTGTCTATTTTGGTGCCGAAAGCACACGAAGCGATCACATCCATCGTTAGGCTTCCCATCGTTTTCTTCATCTCCACGTCTTCTCCAGTCATAGCTTTGGTCTCCAAATAGTTGTCTAATCTGTGGACACAATCAATGATAATGGGATGCATTGATCGCATCTTTCCACTCGAAAACGTCGGACTTATCTATTGATTGCGTTATTATTAGTAATAATTAATTAATAATTATTTAAATACAACTCACAATCGATCGCATGGTCTTCCACTCGTCTCCCATCAGATTAAACAGAGACCTGTCTTGTAGTGGATTATTGAATGAGAAGTCATTTCGATTGACAAATACGTGAAAATCTTTTATATTCATGGCTTTGACGATATCCGGGTCGGCAACTATTAAAACAGGTCGGGTGCTCATATACGACCTGTGAATTAATTTAATTAAAAGAATTTTTAAATTTAAAGTAATAACATTATTTAATTTTTAAACCAATATATTACAACTACTGCTGTACTCACCCATATAATTTTCCATATTTCTGATAATTGTCCAGGGCAATATCTGGCAACGGTTTTGTAAATAATTGCCAAAATGTCCCTAAAATGGGAACAGGTTTCGGGCCATTGATTCCCCGGGAACTCCAGTATTTGAAATTTCGCGTTAAATAACTAATAATATTTATAAATATATTTTTTAGTATAAAACATACTCTCAGTTAGTTTATAATAATACTCACAAATAAAGTATAATTAATAAACATGCAAATATAAATAGGGAGTTAAATGAAAACAAGTTTGACATCAACATTTTTGAAGTTTAAAACTTTTTTCAGACTGATATATTTTATTGTCTAAATTAGCAAGTACCATTGCTTTTATATGTTATTTAACTTTGTTTACAATTTATTGTTCAATTGTATATCATTTGTTAAACGCGTGAAAAATGTATTATATATAAAATGTGAATAATATTCAAGGACAGATGATGAATTATTTATAATAATTACTCAAGGATAAATATTTGAGATAATTTAATAAATTAAGTGCAATGAGGTCTACTATTAGTAAATTATGGGCATATTAAAATGAATTTATTGATTATTACAATTACAAAATATTGAATACAATATTTTATAAAAATATATGCGATTGATATTTATATTGAACAAGTGGTTATTTGTTATAATTAAGGATTATCAAAAATAAGTAATTGGATTCTATAATATTAATAAGTAGTAATTTATATAAGGAGTATATTAATAATTATATTTATGAATTTATAATATTTTACAATTGTTAATTTATGTCCATAGTATTTAGCAATTTGAACTTATTTATAATTTAATCAAAAAAATTATCTATATAGTATGTATGAAAATGAATTAAAATAAGCACAGTATTTCATATTTTATATATTTAATATCATATTTATTATATTTACTCAGAATATTTGCGTAATAATTTTTAAATTTTTAAAAATATTACTTTAAATTCATTTGTCATTTATGAAAAATTAAATATTGACAAAGATTGATAAACGTGTAAATATAATTGATTAATAAATTGTTAAATGATGCAAACGTTTGACAATACTGTATGACAGGTAAATAAATAAATAAAAGGTATAATATTTCATAATACATGCACGTGTAGTACACTGTATTGATTTGATGTAACGATTCATTAGGAATCCCTACTTAAATGCCATATAAGGATAAACAGATCTACAGTACTAGAATCTAGTAACTAGGTGATACAGTACATTTTCATGCCATATAAGGCAATGTCAATACCATTTTCCTTTGACTAATGTGTTCATTAAAAACGGCTTAATAATAATGTTAGGGAATCGAGTGACAGCCAAACAAATATATGATAACTAATCACTTTTAGGGAATTTTATTACAACAATATTTATGACACAACAGAATATTCTTATCGATATTGTATACGAAAAACTGAAAGTCAAAGTCCTGACAAAATAAGTTGAAATCCATAAATCGTTAGCTATAACAAAGTTATAAAAATAGTAGTATTATATATTATATTATATATGCATTCATACGATTTGGTTGACTGTTTAAATCACATTCTCATTAAACATGTCATCAAACGATTGGCAAACAAAATGTTTAAAAGACTTAAAAGCGGGCGAAGAGTTTGATTTGGAGTCCGAGGAACTCATTAAAGGGCAGACACCTTATGATATCAAAAACCGGTGTTTTTCATTTGTCCGGACACTAGGATTTTCAATTTTTAAACACAACTACTATAAGAATATTTTGTTAACTTATGTCTTAAATATCTATGTGTCATAATTATTACAGAAATCCCTAAAAGTGATTACTTATCATATATTTGTTTGGCTATCACTCGATTCGCTAACATTTTGATAAGATTTCAAAAATTTTATTTATTATGCATTTAATCACAAAAAAAACAAATTAAGCTAAAAGTCAAGAAAACCTTTACTTTTCTCACATTACAGTACATATGAATAATTTTCTTTCAAAATGCGTTCCCTGTTTAAATTGACATAAAATTTGTGTAATTTTTTATATTCTTCAAAACCATTGCTTTTTGTAATTAATTATAAAATTCAAAAGACATTTATTACTATCGAATAAATATATTTTGTTCGCTTCATTGAAAATAATGACAAAAACATTGATTAAAACATTATAACCATTCAAAAGACATTGCATTTTATATAATAAATTAAAAATATTGACAGAAATTTGTCTTTAATTTTATTATTTTCTTAAAGTTTTTATGCCATTCATCGCAACACTTATTACTTTCAATACAATTAATAATAATTAATAAATTTAGTAATAACTCAGGGATGCCATCAAGAAATGGATGTTCCGTTCATTGGGAGCCCTTTCGGAAGGCCTCCTCAATGGTCTGTTGGGAGGCCTCCTCGACATCGCACGCCTGGATGTACTTATAGACCCCGACCAACGCCTTCTTGAGGGCGTCATAGGATGACGAGTACAGCATCTTCTGCTTAATCCTCGAGCTCTCGGGACACCACGTCATGAGCACCAGTCGGTCCACACTCAGCGCCGACATCCCCTGTCCGGCGATGTTAGCCGGGAAGTCAAACACACAGTATCTGCACTCGTTGTCGTAGTTCC